GTCCATGGAGCCAGAAAAGTTGGGGTACCACCAGGTTAAAGGACAAATGGATGCATCTGCAATGTTTTAAGCTTCGTCCATTTTAACTCTAGTGGTTTCTGCCATTTAGTGTGCTGTGCAATTTAGCCTAATTTCTAATTACCATGTTTCCGTGAAAATAAGACAGGGCCTTATTTTCTCCCCCCCCCCGAAATAAGCGCTTGGCCTTATTTTTGGGGAGGTCTTATTACTTTTGAGGTGCAGGAGGTGGCGAGTGTGGTCACTTTATGGCTGCTGCTGTGTTGTGATATTTTCGGGGAGGGCTTATTTTAGCGCATGCACTCAAAAGCCCGATTGGGCTTATTATCTGGGGAGGTCTTATTTTCAGGGAAACAGGGTAGATTTAGAATTCTAATTAGAATGAGAAATTCCCACTAGATTAACATTAATTCAATCATCAGGTGAAGCAAATTATGCAAGCAGTATCTTTGAGTTTGCATTGGGATTTTAGGTTACTAGGCAGACTATCGGCTCTTTCATCTAAATAAACCCCTGCCCAGATTTGGAAGCGGGGAGAAGACAGCCACTAGGCTCCCTTCCCCTCTCTCCTCAGGCAGCACCTGTCTTAACCCACCATTGCGCTGGGTTGGATTTCTCTTCCGCTACTCAGATTTCTAAAGGGTCAGCCATTTGTCATATTCCTCACCTCTGTCGTTTTGCACAAGTCCTCCAGCTGGCTGATGATCGTCTGCACCCTGTCATTCCCTGCTACCAACATGGAGATGCAGTTGGTTAACTCAGTCTGTAAGAGAAAATAATAAAAAAATAAAATAAAACGACTCTCTAAGCCTCCTTTTCTAAATCAATGGGTGTGCTGAGGTTCTTCTTGGTCAATTGTGGGAAAGAAGATTGGAAAAGAAACATCAGTGAGAAGTGCTACGACTCAAGACTGCAATATAATTATTCTCAAGACTGATTGTTTCCCTCTTTGCTCTCTTCTTTAATTATATTAGACTAGCTGATAACCCGGTGTTGCCCTGGTATTTATTTATAGGAGGCAAATCTCCCGATCAAACGTAATTTCTAATGTTGGATTTTCCCGCTTACCAGAAGCCCCTTGTGGACTACTGTGAAGCCATTACCATGGCAACTCCACTGCGTTGTACAGTAGCATCCATTTTACGGCAGTACAGTAGAAGTCATTTTAAGGCAGAACAGTCTGTATCTTAACAGAACACACACCCCAAGGAGTGTTAGGGATGTCTTACCCCCACAGTATTTTTTTCCACAGAGTAAGTCATCTGTGTACCAAGTTTGGTTGAAATTGCTCAANTTCCAGTGATGAAGCTCCCACAACTTCTGAAGGCAAGCTACAGTATTCCATTGGTTGATTGTTCTCACTGTCAGAAAATTTCTCCTTATTTCCAGCTTGAATCACTCCTTGATCAGTTTCCATCATTATTCCTTGCCTGGCCTTTGGGTGCTTTGGAAAATAGGATGATCCCCTCCGCTCTGTGGCAGCCCCCCAAATAATGGAACATTGCTATCATGTTGATAAGATCACTGTTATGTTCCAGCCCAGTTTTATTACCTTTCTTGCCATGGTTGTTAAGTGAATCACTGCAGTTGTTAAGTGAATCAGACTGGCGTTAAGCAAATACCGCATCCCCCATTGACTTTACCTATCAGAAGCTGGCTAGGAAGGTTGCAAATGCGTCAACCCCCCCCCCCCGGATGCTGCAATCATTGTAAGCACAACCTCTTGTAAATACATGACCAAAATATTTCAGCCCCATGGGAATGCCGCAACAGTCCTACTAAGTGCGAAGATAGTTCATGAATCATTTTTTTCAGCACCATTGTAAACTTCAAAGGGTTGTTAAATGAATGGTTTGTAAGTCGAGGACTACATGCAATGCTGCATTGAGTGCTCATCTCAAAAAGAAAACCCGGAAAAATATGACAAAAAGGCTATATATCTGGTTTTACATATATTAACTGCAGCCAGAATTGTATTTGCACAACAATGAAAAAAATGACAAGATTTCGTCAGATGACAATGTAATTAAGAAAATACTAGAATGTGCAGCAATGGACAGACTGACCCTAACTATTAAGGATAAAGAAGAAACTGGATATTTCTTGTCATGGGATGTATTTTATCAATGGTTGGACAATAGAAACAGAAGTTAGCAAGGAGGAGCTATAAACAGAGGAAATGTTAACGTGGAGAGCATTTGATGATGAAGATGTTACATATAATTGCAATTATATTACTATATAGTTATATTATTAATATTATTGTGATGACTATAACAGCAAATATGTGGATTATGACTGTTCAAATAACTGTACCCAGATCACACAGTTTGATGGAAATGGAAAACAATATAAACAAAATGAATAAAACATGAAAAAAAATATTAAGATTGTATTTCTCTGTGGAAGACTTAATATTTTCCGCTTGTTTCTTACCATCTGTTTGTCCAACTGGCTGTTCCTCTTCTGTTTCGTCTTCCTCATTCAGTTCATCATCATCTTCATCTTTGGGGGGGGAGGAAAGGGGGAATAATTTAGATCCACATTCCAGAACACCTCATGTAGTCTAATAACAGAGCTATAGAGCTGTCTCTTTAAGTATTTCAGGTGCTTAATGAAGTCCTTGGTAATCTTTACTTCTAACTCAACTGGTGTCTGTTAACTTTGTACCCTTTGTCACACCAAAGGTGTGTTAAGTTTGCTTATGCACTAGGATATTAGAAAGCGATACTTTCATCATGAAAATCAGCAGGCATTAGCCCCAAGACGAATACGGAAGGAAGTTAAACTGAAGGCCAGCAAGGAATCTGCTTTCCAAAATCCCCCACTATGAATGTGCTCATAGAATTTACTATTTGCTGAAGATTTATCTGGATTTGGCACTCCTCCCCACAATTATCTAATGTCAGTATTTGATGAAATATATTTGGCAACTGGGACGCTAGGTATTATTAAGGTGTTGATATGCAACAATAATAGCCTGGTGCACAATGCTGCTTGCTGCAGTTCCATATTATTACTTTTTCCCTTTTTATGACCCTGTAATCCCTTGCTTCAGGGTGGGATTGGGGCAACTAAGTGGATCTGAGCATTTACTGACTAGATGCCCTTCCTGACACCTATACGAAGTTTGCAGCAGATACTTTCTCTCTGCGCCCTGGTAGAGAAACATCTGTCACTAGGATTGAACTCTCAACCTTCCGAGTGGGAGGTGAGCATTTTCACCTCTAGGCCACCGTGCTGCTCATTTTCCATATTAATTATTACACCTTACATTTTCCTTGGTTTGAACGACCTAATGCTTAAGAGCTGCCTTTGCCACCTGGGCTGCCTTCAATTGATTGATGCCATACTAGTTTCTCCATCAAGAGAAATGTAGTTGATAAATCAGAAGATTTACAAGAGCCATGTTCCATTCAGAGATATTAGCAATATAAACTTCAGGTTATACTTCTTACATCCTGACTGAGCACCTCTGGGTGATCATACCCAGTGGTGGGATTCAGCCAGTTCGTGCCAGTTCAGGAGAACCGGTTGTTAACATTCTGAGCAGTTTGGTGAACTGGTTGCTGGAAGAAACCACTAGGGCAGAGAACCGGTTGTTAAATTATTTGAATCCCGCCACTGATCATACCTGCTTCGAAGTCGATGCTTCTCAAGGCTTCTGTGATACTTTCCAAATCTACAGTGAAGTAGTCCATGTTTTCAAAGCCTGTCTCGATCTTCTCCAACTGGCCACCTTTTGATGCATCCACAATTCTGGAACACAGATGAGAAAGGATGTTGTTTAAACAGGTTTAAATACAAAAGGCTTTCTGACAACACTGGTAGTAGATATAAATATGAAATTAGAATAGCATTTGCTGACCTGGGAAGATTAATATGTTCTGAATCCCATCCTAACATTGGTGGGAGAGATGAGACGGTGGTTTCAGCTTTAGTCCATCCCATAATATTGGCGTTGCCTTGTATCCTGCTGTTAGGCAATCCGCTATAGGTTTTGGGCTGCCGTTCAAACCAATGGTGTGGCACTCTTTTAAGTAGAGATTGGGTAACCATTTGTTTGAAATGGTATAGGGCAGTGAATGCGAACCTTTTAGACACCGTGCCCAAACTGCGCATGCGCACACATGCCCAAACTGAAAGATGCCTTTGAGCGTACAAATGCATGCATGCGTAGATCTGCACATGAGCACGCATGGACATGCTTGAATGTGCACATGTGTGGCCATGGGTGGATGCATGCGTGCGTGGACATGCACACATGTGCAGCAGAGACCCGATGACCAGCTGCCCGGCAGGAGGCTGGACATCCCAACCCTGGCAGTGCAGCAAGAGGTAAGATCTTTTTGTTTTATGAGCTTCTGTTTCGCGGTTTGCAGGGAGACAGAAGCTCACGAAAGAAACGTCACGGAGATCTCACTGGGCATGCCAGCAGAGAGGGCTCTGGGCGCCACCTCTTTAACATGTACCATAGGTTCGCCATCACGGGTATAAGATACAATACAATAGCAGAGTTGGAAGGGACCTTGGAGGTCTTGTAGTCCAACCCCCCTGCCTAGGCAGG